CTGTTTCCCAGGGGGCAGGGGACATGGATTTGTTTAAAGTAAAGAAGGAATGGAAAGCATTGTCGTCTAGAGGACCTCCCCACCTTTCTTTTTGAGAAAGGGGGTTTACTATGTGGCCTATCCTGTCCTAGAGCTTGCAGTGATCCTCCTGCTTCAGTTCCCGACTGCTGGAATTACAGGCATGAGTCATCACGCACGACTGGAGTACCCGCTCCTCAATACAGAACTCAGATCTATCTAGTCCTCTTCTAGCCCATTATGCCACCACCGAGAATCAAAGAAAGCTGGGGAGGGAGGTAACATCCTTAAGCTCAGATGGGTCTTTGTTTCCCTGCTCTCATACACTGGCTTTGCAAACTAACCCAATTCCCATCAACAAACATTCCAGATGTGCTGAAAAGACTTTTCTGCGGGGAGATTTTGAGCTGGTGCGTCTGTTCGGCAGCCCGAGAAATTCAGAAGGGAGCTAAAAATTCCCATTTTCTCATTTATACTGGGTGAAAACCCGGGACGTCTCCTCGAGTCGTGGTGTTTTTCAACTTTGAGTCTCCTCTGACTAATTAATGGCATGCGCTTTTGTCCTTTTTTTCTACCCACAAAAGGAAAGGGTAAGGACAAGAAAAAAGGGAGGAGAAAACAAAAATGAAAAAGCTCTTTTCCCTTGAGGAAGCCCCTACGTCCAAGAGTCCCAAGACGTTAAGAAGCCTATGGGATGTTTACAGCCTTAACGCCACCCTCATCTCAGCGTCTTTATTCCAGAGGCCACGAACTGTTGTTCATCATCCAGCCGTGGCATCCCAGGGTCCCCGAGACCCCACCACCGGGGCAGCTGAGGAGTGCGCGGAGCAGGGGAGCCGCCGACTTTGCAAAGTGATGGGCAGCAGGGGACAACTTTGGGGCGTTAGGTGGCAGGGGTCGGCCGGGGGCTGCTGGGAAGCAGCGGCGCCGGAGCCTGGCGCATCCTTCTCCCGCCCACGCCCCCGCATCGCCGAGCACAGAAACCGGCTCGGGCCGGCCTCGCTCCCCGCAGGCGGCCGGCGCGGGGACCCCGTCGCGTCCACACTCGCACAGGTTGCCCGGCGCGGGCGGGACGTAGCGGCCCCGCCACGTTCCCGGGGGCATCCCTCACCCGGCACGGCAGAGGCCCCGAACTCCGCGCCGCCCACCCCGATCCCGATCCCGACCCCACTCGGGCCCGGCACTTCAGCAGCCGCCGCTCCGCGCCCGCCTCCTCGGCAGCGCCGGCCTCGGGCTTTTGTTCGGCCGCAACGCGAGCAGCGAGCGCCGCCTGATGAGGGGCGGCCGGGCTGGGGCGAGCGCCTCGCCGCTCTCCACACGCTCCGCTCCCCTCCCGCCCTCCTGGCTCCGGAGGACGCGTCGGCCGCGGGACTCACCTCACCGGCGGCCTCCGGGCTCTCCCGGGCTGCACCGCTGGCCCCGCAGGCGTCCCTCAGGTCCCCAGAGCAGCCGAGGACCGCCGGCGCGCCGAGCCTTCGCGAGCGTCGGGGCGCGCGGCCCGGGAAGGACGGTGCGCGCGCACTGCCGCGCATGCGCGCTGCAGCAAGCCTCTCCGCGGGAGCCTGGCTGTGCGGTGCTGACCCGCGCTTCGTTGTTCTCTGGTTGGCATCCTAGGTGACGGTGACGCCTTTGAGATGCCGCGCGTCGGCTTAGTGGTTCCCAGCGCTGGAGGCGTTCATCTGAAATGTGCCGGCTCCCCCTCGCAAGGCCCTCAGTGCGGGTCCTCCAACACCTGCTCTGACAGCTAGTGTGCCAATTTCCGGATCTCGGGGATCCGTCAGGGAGCGACCACCCGTGGCGGAGGGTAGGACCGTGTATAAGTAGCAAGGGACACCCAGCCTTTTGCAACGCTGCACACTGACCCTCGAAGCAGATGCACTCTGTGCGTCCCCTCCGCCAAGACCTGTAAACAGATGGAGCTTGTATTTATTGGCGCCATGCCTCATCTTCTCTTTAGAAAAGGCTTCACTCTCCCTTTTCTACATGCATGACTCGAGAGCGAGAAGATTTTTTAGAGGTCATCTAAACACAATGTTATTTTATTTTTCCCCAATAGGGGAGAAGAACGCTCAGAAAGGTTGGATGTCTTACTTAAAGCCACACAGCGTTTTAATGAAAGAATAGAAATTCAATCAACCATTATTGCCTTCTCTTTGCTGCAGTGTTTTACCTTTCTTTTTGTCTACCTTCAACTTGGAGTTCATGGGATTATTGTTCTCTTGGTAGCTCACAGAGCAACACTGGTCCTGTTGCAAGTGATTGTACTTAACACTACTGATATATATATATATATATATATATATATATATATATATGTATATATATATATATGTTTATAAATGGTTAAGATGCTATGGGCTAGAGATATGGTTCTGTTGGCAAAGCACTTGCTGTACAAGCAGAAGAACCTGAGTTAACACCCCCAGAACCCACAAAAATCCAGTCCTGATAACAGGCACTTGTAATCCCAGTGCTGGGGAGGCAGAGACAGGGAGATTCCTCAGTCTAGCTGGTCGCCCAGCCTATCCCATTCCATGAATTCCCAATCCAGGGAGAGATTTGTTTCAAAACACAAGGTGGAGAGCAAACGATGAGCACACCTGTGGTTAGCTTCTGGCCTCTATACACACACACACACACACACACACACACAGAGAGAGAGAGAGAGAGACAGGTTCTCAAATAATGTAATGAATATTCAAGTCTTGTGCTCAGACATATAGTCTCACATCAAAAGGCAGCCTTGATGAACCAGCATGATAAATGAAATCAGAAACAACAGTTTCCTTTTTCCTTATTGACACTTGTGCAGTAACATGTTAGGACAGTAACATTGATTCTTAGGGCCATTCCAGGCAAGCCAGGGTATCTTGTGGAGCTGATGGTGCCTCTTGATGAGAGTGAGTAAAGAAGCAGGTGTTATATGGGAAACTTGGTGCTAGCTTCATGTATTGCCAGGTCCCCATAGCTAAAGCCCTGGAAATGTGCTCAGCAGGAGCTTTTTTAGTCAATGGACAGACACATCATCCTGTAAAAACAGACACGGGCCACACCACTGCTTGTGTCAGGAATCACAAATACATCAATATGATTAAGTCCCATAATGTAATATTTAACAGAGAATGGAACAAGTGGAGGTATATCTTTAAAAAGTGGCAAGAATAAGTTGCTTATAGGAGTGAACATATATCTAATGAAAATATCAAAAAGGTAGCAAATGGCATTCTAGATATAGGGAAGACAATGGGATCTGTATGCAGAAAAAGCTACTACATGTCTGGTAAACACACACACACACACAAAGAGCAAACAGTAGCATCTTGAAACATCTTTGTGGAGACACAGGTATTGTGAAAGTCTCAAGATTTTCTTTATGTTTGACATGTCCCACACAAAAGTAATGTCAAAATATCACAGACACTGGGCTATGTGTGCATGCTCCCTAGGAACACAGTGGGAATGGGGTGACTCATGAGGGACACAGTGGGAATGGGGTGACTCATTCCCCTTTGGGGGAACAGTCAGATGGAGGATCTGTGGGACAGGAGACCCAAAAGATGCAGTTGAGAGCAGAGAAAGGGATCTTCTATCAGAAATAAAAGCTTTCAAATCTCACAGGGATAACTCGAGATGCTTCCCTTGACCCATCTCCCTTTCCTTCCATGTTGTAACCACTAATAGAAAGCTTTTAACAAGCGGGAACTTCACAGACAGACTCAGCCACCTAGGCATTGTAAAAACTGGTCCCTTTCTGGATGAACCCGTTTTGAAACCATAAATGTTAACTGGTAATGCATGGTAATTTAATATGACATCTCTACCTGCCTCCTCCAGGCCACCCCCTCAATCCCCGAAGGCTTTGTTTATTCATTTACATACAAGCTGGTCATTGGGGGGGCGGAGAAATAAAAAATAAATAAAACCACTAGGTTGGAATCCAAACAAGCTAGGTTCTAATTTCAGCTTGGCCACTTACTGATCCATGTTAACTTAGGCAAAGCACTAACCTCCAAGAGACCCTTTTCATTTAAATTGGACATATGCAAATGTTGAGTATTTAAAAGTTATGAAATGTAGACTGGCATGATGGCTGAGACGGTAAAGGCATTTGCGGCCAAGTTTGAGCCCTGGACCTACATGATGGGCAAAATAGACTCCTGAAAGTTGTTCTCTGACCTCCACACATGGCACACACATGCCCACATGAAGACAGACACACATAAATAAATAACTGTGAATTTAAAAATACACTATTAAAACTAACATGTTGAAACATGGAGCATTTGTAGAACTGCTTAAGTTGTAGGAGAGTCCATTATTTTAGCAAGAAAGACAGTGTGGGAAAAATCACTATTTTTATTTTTGTTTTACATTCTGGGTTCATTTTTGGTTAGCTGATGCTCATCAAAATTGCTTTGCACTGTGGCTGCAGGCATAGAATTTTGAGCTTCCTGAAATACTATCACTGGTACGGGTCCCTGAGCTTTGCCTTCTTTATTTGCACTTTGCACTGTTCAGTTTCTCTCTTATTTCTCCTGTGTTTTGGAGCTCAGGCTGGTCTCCAACTTCCTGTGTAGCAGAAGCTGTCCTAGGACTCCTGATCCCTTTCCCTTTGCCTCCACCTCCTGGGTGCTAGGATTACAGGCTTGAGCCCCCATGCCCGGCTTCATTTTTTCCTTCCTTCCTTCCTTCCTTCCTTCCTTCCTTCCTTCCTTCCTTTCTTCCCTCCTTCCCTCCTCCTCCTTTCTTCTTCTTTATCCTTGCATTCTCTGGTTCCCACTACAAGGTGGGCGCTCACTGCATTGATTAAATGTGACTGGACTTTAAAAACCCAATTCACAGTTATTCTTACAAGGCATGCCATCTGCTGGTTCCCTGGTGAATCTGTCATTCAGCTGGGGGCAATTCCTCCACAACTTCCCTTTTCTTCTGCAGGTGATTTTCTTGCATCCAGCCCTTTGCGAATTCTTATTTCTTCCAGCTCTGTTCCACCTTCTGGGCAGTCTTAAAACCTGTCACAAAGGAGTTCGCGTTTCGGAGCTCCCGAATAACCAGAGCAACATAACTGGGCATGCTCCGTAGGGAAGGGCTGTTTTGGAACACAAACATAGCAAGCGTTGAAGGAAGATTTTTCAAGGCTGCTGGTTTCAGGATTGGATACAGCTTCCTGTCATCATTCTATCAAGATGTTACAGCTCCTCCCACTCACCCTACAGCCACACTTTCTCTTTTTTATCTCCGTGCCCAATTTTGGAGCCAGCCCTCCTTGGAGGCCACGGCCAATCAAGAGACCACACATTGTTGCCTAAGAGACCCCGGATGCTAGCGACAGGATTTATAGATGGTGATTGGACTGCTGGAAACCGTGAGGTGGGGCTGGAAGGAGTCAAAGAAAGCTGCCCTAGTGCAACGATGGCAACCCCAGGGCCAGAGGCTTGAAGAAAGAGGCCAGCTGCTGAGGTGAGAACAGTGGGCAGGGCACGAAAAAGATGGAGACTCTGAGAGCGCTCCCTAGCTTCCCACAAGCCCTGTCGGGGCTCTTGGGGATTGCAGTCTGCTGCAGTTTCAGTGGTTGCTTCATACCCCTGAAATTAACAACCAGCAATTACGTACAGGTCAAACATTAGCTTTTAAAACCATGCATTTCAGTGTTTACTTAGTTTTTAACAGGTTCGATATAATGTGAGTTCGCATTTAGATCTACCCATCCTCTATTTCCTGATACTGTGCTCTGGTGCTATCTCAGTGTACTGTGGATGAATTGTGTGTTAGCAGAGAAACTCAATCCTAGTCTTAGTTGTAACCTCCAAATAAATCCCTGACAGCCCCGAGCATTTCTGCTGTGCCAAGTTCATTATGCTCTGAGTTTTAGCCTGCAATCCCACAAGGTTTAATCCTCACATTACCCCCTCCCATTCTCCATGACATTTCTTTCTCCCACTAACAAATATTTATGGAACATCTTTTATGTACCACTGTGATTGGAATCGAGATGAGCAGTGTTAGAAGAACACACAAGCCCAGAAGTGTTCCATGCCACCATCCTTACAGTGGTCAAAAGGGCCTTGTGTCACGGTCCTTACAGTGGTCAAGCTGTCCGTGGGTCTGGACAGAGTATAGGAAAAGACAGAATGAGATTGAAACAGTTACTGTGAATCAACCCAGACTTCATGTTGAGAAGTCGGGATTCCACAGCCATTAGTGGGATTCAAAGGTTTTGAGTTGAAAAGTGACTTCACTGACTGGTCCTTAAAAACAAACATAAAAAAAAAGTTGGGTGTGATAGCATAGGCCTTTAATCCCAGCACAGAGGAGGGAGAAGCAGGAGGATCTTTGAATTTGAGGCCAGCCTGGTCTACATAACAAGTTCCGAGTCAACCAGTGATATGAATTAAGACTCTGCTGCAAAACAAAAACAAGACAAGACAAAACAAATCTCAGGGCTGGGACTATAGTTCCATTGGTAGAGTGCTTATCTAGCACTCACGAAGCCTGAGTCCAGCACTGCGTAAATCAGGTGTGTGGTACACACCTGTAATCCAGAACTTGGGATGTGGAGGCAAGAGGACCAGAAGTTTAAGGCCATTCTTAGCTACACAAGCAGGTCTGAGGCCTGCCTGGAATAGGTACTTAGTAAAGTTATTGTGTAAAGGCGATGGTGTGAACAATGGCTCAGACGATTTAGAAGGCCAAACCAGACCTTAGAGCATGACCACTGGGACTCCTGCTTGGCTGTTGAACATGAGCCTGGGTCCATATATAGGGGACAGGGACCCTGGACTTTCTTTCTACAGTTTTATCCCAAGGAACATGAATGACAGACAGTCATTAAAAGGAAAGGAAGTCATATGAAAGTACCAGCAACTTGTATTTCTGGAAGGAGGTGAGACAGCCAGTCTGCTTTGTCTTGGTAGACAGGATCAATTATTTCAATTACTGTGTGTGTTCTGTGCAAACTTCTGACTTTTGAGTAGTAGCCAGTGGTCTATTCTGTGAACTTGTGTATGCATACAAACTATGTGCGCTGCTCATCTTCCAGGACAGAGGAGGAGGGGAAAACTGAAAAAGGATAATCATAAAAGTGGAGGTAAGACACCTCTGCTGGCATGCTTCTGCAGGATTGTCATCAAGATCTGTGCCTCCTGGCTAAGCCCACCTCCTGAAAATTACAGCTGATTTGAAGAAAGCCCAAGGAATCGGGGGAGGGGGAGCAGACTGTGCAGACCCGTAGGGTATCTTTGAGCAAAACTGCTTTATCTTCACTCAGAAGTGGTACCTAGAATACAGCAAATGGCTTTCCACACACACTGGGAAGCAAGAGAGCTTCTCAGCTTAACACAGAGATTTTTTTTTTTTAACCTGGGGGAAGCAGAATTTTAGATCCCTGTGTATTTTCTAGGCAGAAGATTCATAGCTTTTATCCAAGAGGCTCCGGGATTCTCAAAGATGTTTAAAATAGCTGCTGTCTTAAAAGCAGGGGGTGGGGGACTGCTGGGCACAATGACAAATGCTAGTAATCTCAGCACTGGGAAGATGGAGGAGAGGGGATCTTGAAAACAAGCAGTATACCATTTTTGCCTGGGTAGATCTGAACTTGGTGGCAGTGCTTTATAGCTGGTGTTTGCCTGCATACCTGTACTGTATTTCTGGCTGCTAGTTAATAATGCAGTGAAACCATTTCCGGTGCCTTTGGGAGCCTAGCTAAAACTATAGTGACTTAGATAATTAAGCATTAGGAGCTGAGAAGAGCCCAAAGGCTGCTCTGAGCCCAGGCTATGGTGGCAGGATGATACAACCAAGGGAAGGGGTTGACTAATGAACCTACCAGGGTATAAGACATTGGCTTCATCTTCAACTGTAGCTTAAACCTAAGTGAATATTACATGTCAAATGAGGACCTCAGAGATTTCAGATGTGGTGAATGGGGAAATCCCATCTCAGCTGAAAAGTAATGTATTAAAAATTTTATACATGTTTTTAAGGTTCATTAACCCAAGCTGACCTCTCTATGAGGATGACTTTGAACTTCTGGCCTCCTGCCCCCCCCCCACTCATCTTTCAAGACATGGATTCTCTGTGTAGTTCTGGCTGTCCCGGAACTCACTCTGTGGACCAGGCTGGCCTCGAACTCACAGAGATCCACTTGCCTCTGCTTTCCGAGTGCTGGGATCAAAGGCGTGTGCCACCACGGCCCAGCCTCTAATTGGTTTTAATTTGTTCAGTATTTAATGCTGTAGAATCATGTGTAGAGCCCCAGATCAGGCATGTGTAGAGTTGCCTCAGCCACAGTTCCATCTTTGTGGGAAACCCCATCTTCAGAGAGAAGGGAGGGTAGAAACACTTAGGGTAGGCCCTTTGGCCCACCAAAGGACAGGCTTTGGATACTTTGTAAGTGACAAGTTCTCAGAAAGACTCAAAGAGGTTACTAGTTACTGAGGCTACCTGTCCATCAGCCACCATGTCAAGACCCTTTTCTGTCTCCCAAGAACCATTTTGGAGGTCCACATACATAGAATTTAGGTGCTTGGTGCTCTTGTAGAGAACCCAGGTTCAATTTCCAGCACCCACACGATGGTTCACAACTGTTCATGACTTCAGTTACACAGGACCCAGTGCCCTCTTCTCACCTCCTCAGGCACCAAGCATACACACATGCCGGCAAAACACACAACAGTAAATTGCATAAATCTAAGAAAATATTCTAAATTGCAGAGCCAGTGTTTAAAATTAAAAAAAAAAAAACTCTACAAGGTTAATTTTTTAAAAAAGGTTGCAGAAGCAGAAACAGATTCTAGTTCACAAACGTAGAAGAGGAAAAGGGCAGGTAGCTTCTGGGGGACCGCATTGCAATCTGCTCAGGTCACTATTGTTACCCTCACAGACCACCTCATGCAGAAAAGGATAAGTCCATCTGTGACTTGATCCACTCACCATCTGCTGTCAAGGAAGTCCCTGGTGGTCCCCAAATGAAGAAAAAAACCCAGCAGCTGGACACCTCTAAATTCAGCCAACTAGCCAGCAAACTCCACGCTAGTAAGGAAAAATAATTCCTCAAGGAAATTGAAGTACCTTAATTTAAAGTAGGCAAACTGCATACCGAATAACTAAAAACAGCAGATTTACCCAGTGAACACATCTGTCCATCTCCAAAGGTGTGGCCTTGCCCCCTATATCAGTCTACCCCCTGAGTGGAGTGTATATTCAGCCAAAACTCTCCTACCTCAATGCTAAAAGTAGAGGAGGAGCGTTAATTACACATGAACAAAAATTAGGTGTTTGTTTTGAGACAGAATCTCGTAAGGTAGCCATAGCTGGCCTGGAACTATTTATGAAAAACAATATGGCCTTAAATTCAAGGAAATTCACCTACCTCTGCCTCCCAAATGGGATGAAGGGTGTTTGTTTGTTTGTTTTGTTGTTGTTTTCCAGATAGGCTTTCTCTTGTAGCCCTGGCTGTCTTGGAACTAGCTCTGTAGACCAGATCTTCCTGCCTCTGCCTCCCCAGTGCTGGGATTAAAGGTATGCAGCACCTTCACCCAGCAAAGGGTGTTTTATATTGCACTCTTGACTCTAAATTTGAAGCATTTCTCTTTCAGGCCAGTAAACTTTATTCTGATCTAAGGATGACTAAACTTCCCCCATGATCCAGTGGTCTGATTCCTGTTCCATTCACTATCTATACAATCTTGGGTAGGGTGGGCAACTTCAGTGAGCCTCATTTTTTTCAATGGCCTAAGTAGCTAAAACCCATAATTGCACCATCAGCTCATTGTAAACTTGTACTGAACATTCATATAAAGTCTTTCACATAAACAAGGCTCTCAGTAAATATTCTTCCCACTCATACCATCTCTCAACATACAAAAAGTATATATATATATATATATATATATATATATATGTACATATATATGATGTATAGATATGTATATGTAGTTTTCAGAAATTCGATGATTTATTTCTTACGATAGGTGTAGTCTTTCTGATGGACGAACACCAGGTCATTTCATGATGGCATTTGCACCTCCAAAAAGTACTGATGGCTCCAAAATGCAGACAAAGATGAGCACCTGGACACCCCTAAACCATCGGCTTCTGAATGACCAGGCGAGTGGTCAGAGATATTTTATTATTTGGGTCCACGGTGGGGGGGGGAGTAAAATTCTGATAATCAGAATATGAGCAGGAATTGTTTAAGATGGTACTCTATGAACAAAAGACAAAACACAAAGTTATTTAACGAACTATAGAAATGATCACTGAAAGTATAATCTTACAAAGTTTCTTTAAAAACAACTTTGTGTCTTTGCTATGTGGGCAAGATAAAAAAAAAAAAAAAAAATAGATCAGAGTTCTGGCCCAGAAAAAAGTCATTGTTCTTTCCTGCGTTATCTATTCCTGGCTGGTGTGTCTTCTTTCTCCCATCGCTGGTTCTCCCTGGAGCCAACAGAATTAGGGGAGGGGAAGAAAGATGTCTAGGAGGGGTTCCCCTCAAAAACCAGTCCCTGAGTTTCTGGATAAAGCTGAGGTCACTTAGTGAATATATTTCAGCCAAGAAGTCTATTTCCCAGTTTAATTCTGGGGAGACACAAGTAAAATACACACGATAAAAGACTGCAAGCAAGTGGCTGGGGTGTGAGAATGGCAGACCTATGGGATATTGTATTCTTGCAGAGTTGCAGAACTCTGATCAGTCCCTGGACATCAGGCAGGACCACACCCACTTGGCAACAAAACACAATCAGTTTCATTGTGTAAAACTGACCTCACTGTCTTCCTTCTTCACACCAGTCCTTCCTCCAGAAGAGAACCCCCACTTTATGCCATCACAGGGCCATAAAAATCTCACCTTTCCCTGTCAGGTGTTGGATTGGATTATTCATCCCAATTTACAGGCTAATAAGTTAGCCTGTTGCCTGAGGAACAAAAGACAGTACTATCTCACAGTGAAGGACACAGGGATCTAGGCAGGCACAAAGAGCTTCCGCTCACAGCAGAGCTGTCAGGGTGAGCATTGTGTCAAGCCTAAACACTGACTCTCCTGCTTGACCAGCCTAGTGCAAGGTGGGTTCCCTGGCAGCTGAAGACCAGTGAGCACACGGAATCGAATACTTCCTAGGAAACAGTAAACATAAACTCCTCCCTCTAGGCTGTCTCCCTGCAATGTAACTTGGAAAGCAGGTCCAAGTGAAGAGTCTAAGGGCCTTCATGTCTCAGCACTCCCAGACTCTTGGGAAAGGAAAGCTGTGGAGGAATATCTACCTACACACCCTTGCCTCCTTGTTCTCTGGATCTTTGAGTCTTCTCTCTAGATCTAGTCTAGCTCCTTGTTCTCAGGTCACTTCCTCACCCACCACCCTTTGCCAGGCGCAGTAAGGTAACTCCCTGGCTGTTGTCACTGCCTCTAACAAGCTTACTTATCCTCTAATAAGTCTCCAGGAAGATCTTTCTGAAATACCAATCCTATTAGGTGAGACTGAAAATGGGATTTACTCCAGAGAGCAAATTCCAACGCCCCACACATCCTTGAGGTCCCTTCAGGTCCTGACCCCCAGCCAACCTCCTAGCTTCTACCTCTGCTGCTACTCCGGGGCACTGCTGTTTCTGGCTTTCCCCTTCAACTTTATCCCATCTGCCCCACTCTCTCTGAATACACAGCTCTGGGTGAGGACACAAGTCCAGTCCTCTCACTGTTTTTTGTTTGTATGTGTGTGTGTGTGTATGTGTGTGACACACACTTGTATATGTGCAACTAAAAGTGTACATGTGCATGGAGGCCACAGGACTTCAGCTGTTATTCCTCAGGTGTGATTTACCTTGTTTTTTTGAGACAGGGTCTCTCATAGACTTAGATCTTACTAAGCAGGCTAGGCAGGCTGACTCTCCAGCTCTGGGATTTAAACACACCACAACTCCTTGTGTGTGTGTGTGTGTGTGTGTGTGTGTGTGTGTGTGTGTGTGTGTGTGTTTTAGTGTGAATCCTGGGGATTCAATAGAGGTCCTTGTATTTATAATCACATGTTTCGCCAATTGAGCCCTTTCTTAGATATTCATTGACTTTTATCTTTGGACCCTTCTAGCTCCTTCCTTGGCTGGAGTTGGTCCATTGTTTATGTAACAAAGAGTTGATCCCTCTTGGCAAAGCCTGTAGTCAGACCTGGCTCATGTTAGAACTAGGAACTTTCTCCTATTCTGATGTGAAATAGGAGTTGGGGGGGGGGTGTGCTGTATAAGAGATTGGATCCTGAGGAATAAAGCAGAGAGAAGCTGTAAAGGAAACAGATACAAAAATAACCTAAGCAGGGAGAGGGATGGAAGAAAGGAGTCCTCAGGAACAAAAGGACAGGTGCAGGCAGATGGAGCCTGGCCTCATAGTGCCAAATTAACGTATGGAAATCTTTTTTCTTTCAGCACAACTATTATTCACTGAGCACCTGTTGTGATGCTCAGAGCTCTCCAACAGTTTATATAACAGTTTATCCCTCCAACTTCAGTGTCAAATTTGGAAATCTGTTTTCTCATTGAATTGTGAGGATTTTGCACATGTGTGAAAAAGTGACTTGAGTTGAAACACAAAGTTGCTGAATGTCTTGATTTTCAGAAAATTCCCTAGAAAAGTCTTGGTCAATTTGGCCACTGTGAAGAAAAAAGAAGTATCTTAAGCTAGGCATGCTGGCATGTGCTTTCAGTCCCAGACCTCAGAGCTAGAGGCAGGGGGAGGTCTGTGAGTTCAAGACCAATCTGGTCTACATAGTGAGTTCCAGACCAGCCAGTGCTGCGTAGCATGACTCTATTTCCATTATTATCTTTTAAATTGGTGGCTGGAGAGACAGCTCCACAGTGAAGAGCACATATCACTCTTGCAAAAGACCATAGCTTAAATTCCTAGCACCTGAGCAAGGTGGCTCACAACCTCTTGTACCTCCAGCTCCAGGGTGAGCTGAGCTTCTTGAGGCACCAAGTGCACATACCCACATACAAACATAGTTAAAATCAAAACTAAATCTTTTAAGAAGTACCTTCATAGTCCCCAAAGTACCCAAGTGCTCGCTGTAGGAGGGGTGATAAATAAAGATAGATCCTTTATTTGACAGTGCTGGGCACTTGTGAAACAAGGTCTCTCCCACTGATATACATCCCCAGCTTTGAGAAGCAGGTTTTGATATGAATATATAGGAATTATCCCTAAAGAAGGGGAGAAAAGGCGTGATGGCTGTCCTTGCTTGTCAACTTGACTGCATCTGGAATTAACTAACACCCAAGTGGGAACACCTGTGAGGGATTTTTTTTCTTAATTAAATCATTAAATGTGGAAGATCCATCCTTTAATCTGGTCTATACCTTCTGGTGGCAGCCAGAATAACATAAAGTACCCAGAAGGAAGCTTGCGATTGCTAGCAAGTCCATTCCCTCATTAGCATGAGAACCTACTTCTTCAAGAGTCTGGCATATACTGAAGACCAGCTGAGACATCCAGCCTTGTGGACTGAACAACTACTGGATTTTTGGACCTCCTATTGGTAGTCAGCTATTGTTGGACTAGCTGGACCATGACCTGTAAGCCCTTCTAATAAATCCTGTATATACATATGTACGTTCTGTTCCTCTTGAGAACTCCTTGAGAAGGAAAGGATGTAAATTTGGGGTCAAGGATGAAGGTGAGGTGCAATGCAATCTCCATGACATCTCCACTGGCCCCATAGGACACCAGCTGTCGTGATCCATGAGTTGTCTCATAACTCAGCAAGGAGGCCTGTCCTTATAGTTGACACTGCCCTTTGGTGACCAGCTGCTCTCCCCTCCAAGGTTATGACCTTGGCCAAGGCAGCTTCTTTGAGCTCCTAGCTGTCAACCAGCTGCCTCCCAATGGATACTAAATAAATCCCTCAGCTCTAGAAAAGATCAATACAACATAGCAAACATGGTAATGGTTTTATCCTTGTTCTTTAGTGGCTTTGGTCATATCTAATGATAATTTTTAGAGAAAATACTCATCATTCATAATTCTGACATTCAAAAATATTAGTTAGCTTCTTGTTTCAAATTAATTTTTTAAAGAACTATATGCCATTGAGAACTCTTTTTTTAAAAAAATATTTATTTTTAGTGTATGTTTATGTGTGTGTGTGAGAGAGAGAGAGACGGGGGGGGGGGGAGAGAGAAAACACAATACCCACGAGGCCCAGAAGAGGTTATCACCCCTCTATCATAGCCCCGTCTAACCTGGAGTTAGACGGTTGTGCCTTGCCCAGCTGCGGTGCTGGGAAGGGACCCTAGTTTCCCTGTAAGGGCAGCACATGATCTTAGCCACGTGCCACCTCTTTAGCACCCATCCCCTTCTTTTGGGACAGGATATCGTGTAGGCCCAATTGGTCTTGAACTCAATGTGTAGTCACGAATAAAACCGTAATTTTTTTTACTTTGATTTTTCGAGACAGGGTTTCTCTGTGTAGCTTTGTAGACCAGCCTGGCCTCAAACTCAGAGACGTACCTGCCTCTGCCTCCCAAATGCTGGGATTAAAGGCACTGCCACCACTGTCTGGCCAACATTGTACTTCTAATCTTCCTAAATTTACCTCCCTAGTTCAAGGGTGATAGGCCTGTGGCTCTAAGCCCCGTTTATGGGGTGCTGGAGGTTGGACCCAGGGCATCTTCCATGCTGAGTAAGCAGTCTACCAACTGAGCTACCTCTCCAGCCCTCCATTTTGTCTTTTGTAATTTTTGTTCTGTAGTAGAATGTGAAATACATAATAACCAACTCAGCCTGAAATAAAAGATTCGGGGTTTTAAGTTCACAGCAGGTTGTCAGCTGAGAGACTAAATTCAAATTTAGATAACTTAAAAAAAAAAAAAAAAGCATCATCAAGGTAGGCAAATGCAGCAGATTACAGAGTAATTTGGGCACCGAGGATTCCTAGGGGAGAGTGTTATAATAGTACCTGTTTTGCCAGCCAGTGTTGTAATTAGAAGGATCATGTTCCCCCATACGCAAAGCTAACCATGGACAGGGATGGGCAGGATAATTGCCTTGACTCTAGCGATTATTTCGCTCTTGTATATGCATCCCAAACATCATGTTGCACACCTTAAATACATATAATTTAAGAGCAGGAAAAGTGCACATCCCCATTTCTTTGATGCTCGATTCACACATGTCCCACAGTGCCTGTAAAAAGGGAGTCCTGGGGATGCAGCACCTTGTTGCCATCCATCGATCATAATGTAGGATTTCCAAAATAGCTCCCTCCTCCACTGCATTGATGTCACACGAGGAAATATGTAATTGCAGTGTCAACAGACTAAAATAACAACCAAGAGATTTTGACTTAACAGCAGGCTGTGGGTAAACTGTGATATAAACAGACTGCAGCCGTCTGTGGGAGAAGACCCATTTTAATATTGCCGATTCAGAGAGATACTGTGCTTTCCAGCTTCTTAAAAATGAAGATCCTGATTGCACATCTTTGGAATGATAATCCAGTCTAATTCAGGGAACATGAGAGTGCAAATCCAACTGAGGACTGACACAAAATGATTTACCCCAAATTATATATATTTGTTATAAGGGCAGACTCAACCAGAGTGGAGTCCTCTTGATTTTGAGTCTGGGATTTGTCAAGCAGGAGAGACTGATATTTGCTCATTATTTCCTCTCTCCTCCTCTCTTCGGTGGTCAATTTCTCTTGGGTGCAGATACTGTCTGTGAATGCCTGGGCTTGCTTAGAGTCTGAATAGATGTTGGTTTCCCTTTTCTTTTCAGTGCTTGGGCTCAAACCCAGGGCTTCACAGCTGCTTAGCAAACATACTGTTGCTGAGCTGTATCCCCAATCCTCCTTTCTACTTTTTAAGACATAGTCTTACAAAATTACCTAAGCTGACCTAACCTCATGCCATAGCCTAGACAGGTCTTGAACTTGTGATCCCCCTGCTTCAACCTCCTGAGTAGCTGTGATGACAAGCCTGCACCACCAGGTCTGGCTTAGACATTGTGTTTGCTTTAGCCTGATGCATGACTGAAACCACTTCCTACCTCATTTCTTTCCTGATGCCTTTCTGTGAACTCTGTTCTCCAGTCAGTGTCCCTTTGTTACCATGAGCCACAACCTCAGGGAACACTATGATGGTGCAGCCCAACCTCCTTTTGAAAACTTGATGATATTGAGACCTAGTCTTTCCCATGCCAGGCAGAGCCCTGGCAGAAGTTCCACAAGAATTTAGGGCTGCAGGGTTGGTGGGATTCACCTATAATCCTAGCACTAAGGATGCTAAGGCAGGAGAAACATCAATTCCAGACCATTTCAGCTGTATAATAAGTTCCAGGCAGCCAGGATGAAGAAGACCACAATTATAGTGAGAAAACCAAGGGCAAAGTTAAGCTGAGTAGGTAATTCCCTACCAGGGTTCTCCATCCCTCCATTCCTTTCTTTTTGTCTTCCTTTCCTTCCTTTTTCTTTTCTTTTCCCTTCCTTCTTTCATTCTTTCATTCCTTCATTTTTATTTTTTATTTTTTTACTTTTGACACTAGCCTTAAACTTACTATGTAGTTGAGGATAAACTTGCATTTATCCTCCTGCCTCTGCTTTCCAAGTGCTGGGAGTTCAGGTGTGTGCCACCATGCTTGGCACTTGTCCTTTCTGTTAGCCCAAATTATGCCCCAAACTTAGTATCTCCCTGCTTCTGCCTCCTGAGTACAGAGACTACAGTATAGCACCACCTTGCCCAGCGATTTGTTTATATTTTAAAATCCAAACAAAGTATCTATTATGGGAGTCTGCCTGTCCTACCTAAAATGAGGAAGTTAAAGAAAAAGCTCTTCAGGGTTTTTATGATTTATTTTAATATTATTTGTATTTATGTGTGTATGGGTCTGTGCACATGAGTGCAGTGTCTACAGAGTCCAGAAGAGGGTGTTGGATCTCCTGGAGTTGGGAGTTACAGGTTATTGGAAGCTGCCAAGTGCTCTGATCTCCTGTGCCTTCAGAAACCTTTTCATTATCATTGTTTGACCAGTAGTGTCGCTGAGATTCTGCCATGAAACCTGTTCTTGCTGGTTCTGGGGAGCATGTAAGAGAAAGGGGTTCTCATCTAAATGGGGAGGTAAGATGAACAGAAACTACTAGAGAATCAACCAGACACTCTCAGTGGGCATAGGAGTTCAAGCCTTTAATTCCAGAACATGGGAGACAGAGGCAAGAGGAGGATCTCTGTGAGTTTGAGGCCAGCTTAATGTACATAGTGAGTTCTAGACTAGCCAGGGCTACATAAAGGAAACATATCCCAAACCAAACAAACAAACAAACAAACTCTCCCGCCCCTGTGGAGCATGAGTAGAGCAGAAAATGGAGGGGCCCTGAGCATCAGAATTGCATCCGAATTGGTGCTTGGCTTGAGGAGGTTTTGGTAGAGGAGAAAAAGCACCAGAAATACTTGAATCCAAATTCAGTTTTGTCTCTTCTGTGTTTTCTACATTCTCTATTTGCATGTGTACTCCTGAATTTATCTGTTGTCACAATGATAGGACCAGAGCTTCCCAGTGGCGATGATTGAGGTGGGAAGAGGCATGGGTTTTTTTTTTTTTTTCTCTAGTATGCAAAAAGTATCTGCATGTGGTGTATGAGATTCTTTGGACAGGAGAGTAGAGACTTCTCGTGGCACTTGTTGAAGCTGCTATTTCAGCCCCATTTCAATATGCCCTTGATGACCAGAGCATGCGAGACTGAGAAAGAAAAGAATGACCTGCTGGCAGCATGAGGTCAACTTCTCATTCTCCATGATCAGGAAGGAGCAATGTCTGCACAGCCTCTCCTAGCTGGAGAGGTCCTTCAGGGCTGCTCAAGAGCTGTAACATTGACCCCCATTTGAAAGCTGACAGAGGGTGTCTGTGGTGGCTCGGAGACACAGTCACATATGTTCATTTTTCTCTCTTCCTCTCTTCATAACCCCTCCTCTGCCGAATATACCCATGTTGGTCTTCTCCTCTTCACATGCTGAAATCCATGCATGCTCTGAGGCCCAGAAACATATTAACATATACATTCACTCACACTGTGCTCCAACACCCATAAGGCCATCAGTTCTTATGGTCACATCTATTGGAATGAAATGTCTTGGGTATTTGTGATAAGCTATACCAGCACACAGCTTGGATGTGTCAAACAACTAGGGCATGGTTTCTTTGCAAAATATTGTATAAGAGCAAACCTATGCAGACACAAAGTTGTAAACCCAGAGTCACACATACAGAAACTATTTTTATAATTAGAAAGTCCATGGATAGTCATGCATATGGGTATACACTGAAGGGCAAAAGCAGGGCTGGCAAGATTGTTTGGTTAGTAAAGTGCTTGCTAAGCAAGCAGGAGAACCTTGTAGAGCTTGCTGGCCAGCCAGTCTAGCCAAACTGATGAGATCCAGGTTCAGAGAGAGGCCCTGTCTCAAAATATAAGTTGGAGACAATGGAAAGGCTACCTTAAATGGCCTTCCCTGATAATGAGATTGATGACTAACTTACATGCCATCATAGAGCCTTCATCTAGTAGCTGATGGAAATAGAAGCAGACACCCAGTTGCAGAGAGGGAGGAATGATAAGAAAAGGGGTCAAGACCAGGCTACAGAAACCCACAGAGACAGCTGACCTGAACAAAGGGGTGCTCATTCCCAGACTGATCGCTGGGAATCCAGCATTGGATGGACTCAGACCCCCTGAACATGAGTCTCAGTTAGAAGGCCTGGGCAGTCTAAGGGACCTCTGACAGTGGAACCAGGATGTATCCCTGGTGCACAAAAGGACTTTGGGAGCACATTCCCCATGGAGGGATACTTCCTTAACCTAGAGGCAGGAGGGAGGGCCAAGACCCTATTCCAAATGACTTGACAGATTTTGATGATCCCTCCTGGAAGGCATTACCCTCCCTGTGGAGTGGGGGGGAAGGGGAGGAGGGAGAGGGAACTGGGATCAATGTGTAAAATAAGAAAAAATAAATATATATAAAAAAATAAGTTGGAGAGAGATAAGATACCTGATGTTGTTGACCTTTGGCCTCTCTTTACACAGATACACATCTCTGTGCACGCCTGCGCGCGCGCACACACACACACACACACACATACACACACAAATTCTTAAATACACACACAAGAAGAAATAGAACTGTTCATTCATATATTTTACACGTTTTTATGTGATTGATATTGAAAATTTCCAGGAGCTACATTTTTTTTTGTCTGTGTTAGTTTATGACCTTTCAAATTTGAGAGCCTTTATAATTCCTTTTTCTTTCATATTTCATTTCTCTTGAAGAACAGTTTCTCAGTGATTCATGGTGGTACACGCTGGTAATCTCTGTACTTGGGAAACAGAGGCAGGAAAATAAAGTTGGTTGGGCCAGCTTGGGCTATAAAATGTGGGCCAGGCCAACCTGAGCTACAGAGAAAGGGAAGGAAGATAGGAAGAAAGAAGGGAGGATAGGTTACTTCTTTCGTATGAATTATTCCATATACAGAAACTAAAAAGAGAGGCCTTGCCTAGGCTAAAAGTAAGTAAAGTGGGCTGGTAGTGTAGTTGGTGGTAGAGTGCTTCCCCAGCATGCACAGAGCTCTGAGCTTGATTCCCCAGCTTTGCATAAACCAGACATGGTGGTACAGCCTGTAATCCAAGTACTCTCGAAGTAGAGACAGGAAGATGGGAAGTTCAAGGTCATCATTGGCCTGCATAGAGAGTTCAAGGCCATTTAATAAATAGATAGAGTACCTCCTCAAAAATGCAACCTGTCTTCCCTACTCATTGATCCCTTAATGGTGTTGTTTGTAATGGGTATCTTGAACCACGATGCCAAAAAATGACCCCTTTTTTTTTTTTTTTCTCTTACTTGCTGTAGGTGTTTGAAGAACGAAGAGCTCTGCTTGGAAAATGGGTAAAGCATTTAAAATATATAGGCCTGCTGGGACTATCTGAATTGCAGAGTACTTGCCTAGTCTGCACAAGTCTTGGGTTCAGTCCTCAATACCACAAGATAGATAGATAGATGGATGGATGGATAGATAGATAGATAGATAGATAGATAGATAGATAATAAAAATAAAATGTGCCTGTTTCTGAATCATGGTATAATATCTGTTTTCATCTGTTCAAGCTACTATAATGAAAACCATAGGCCAAGTGGCTATTTATTGATTTTTCTTAGTTCTGGAGTTTGGAAATTCTCATTATCAAGGTGCTGGTAATGGGTGTCTGGTGAGAGCCCTCTTGAGCAGCCATCTTGCTGTCTCCTGAAATGGCAGAAAGGGAGGAAGAGTTCTGTGGGATCTGTTTTGAGATCCACCTCCCGAAGACCCCACCTACTCCCCACTCCAATCTATAGGTTAGGATTTCATACTGGTTTTAACTTTTTATTAGATTTATTTTATGTGTACAAGTGTTTTGCCTGCATATGCATGTGTGCACCATGTGGGTGCATGCCCATGGAGGCCAGAAAAAGGGGTGCATGCCTTTAATCCCAGCACTCAGGAAGCAGGAGGAGGTGAATCTCCGAGTTGGAGGCCAGTCTGGTCTACAGAGCAAGTTCCAGGACAGCCAGGGCTACACGGAGAAACCCTGTCATGAAAAACCAATAAACAAATAGTGAAGGTTTCAACATGCAAATGCTTCAGGACACATTCAGTCTGCAGCATTGTCTCGGAGCCATGAATACCAAGGCAGTGCTGGCTCCATTCCTAAGAGTCATGACTGATGATTTCCATTTAAACTCTACCTGGAAAACAGAACTCATCCAGTATTTCAACAGACATAATTTAATCAAAAGGGTTGGCAAACGAATATTGAAAGACTCAGGAAGGGGTTGATAAAGGTCTGTGGAGAACTGGGCTTGATGCCAGCCTTACTCACTCCAGTCCAGCAGGGGACCCACACTCCTGAGGGGGAAAAATAGGCATCCCAGCCTGCTGGTTCTGGTATATCCAAGGAAGCATGATGACTCTAGGTCATCTGGGAGACAGCTGGAGTCAGGGGTCAGGGAGAAGAGTCAAGGCAGTGCTGACAGGAACAGCCGGCGGGCAGGGAGTGGTATGTCCGTCCCCTCTTCCTCAGTTTCCCTGTAGTACCTCCATCTTCACAAGCAGCATTTAGCAGAGAGCTGGCTGTCAATGGAGAAATATGACCACAGAGTTCCAGCCTCCTGGACTTGCAGAGAGAGTATAGCGATGTGGGTTTGGGTCTGAGAGAGAATTTCTTTGTAACCAGTGCAGTTCATCCTCTGAGCCTCCAGCATCCAGGTAGCAGGTACATTCTTCTGTATGTACTTGAACTTCCACATGAGAACACTAACAGCTTCATGCTTCTGCCTAACAAGCTACAGCTGCCCTTCATCATCGACTTTCTCATCTGTTCCTCTAACTAGGAGACAGAATCCCAAAGGTCATTATCCAAACTGAATAATGTCAAGTTATGTGTTTCTGGGCAACAAATTACTTGTTGAATTACTCTACAGTCTCAACTAAATATTTTCTACTACTCAAGAGAATTGAAAACATATGGCCATACAAAAGCTTGAACATTAAGGTTTATAGCAACAGTATTCAAAATAGTCAAAAGCACAAACAATCCTAATATCCATCCACAGGTAAATGAATAAAAAAAACGTGCTGTGTTCGTATGATGGGTTGTTAGTCAGCTGTAAAAACATGCTATAACATGGATGAACTTTGAAAGCATTGTGTGCTAAGTGAAATAAGCCAGTTTCAAAAGCAAATATTGTACAACTCCACTTTATATGAGGTACTTACAATGGGCAAATTCACAAAGATAGAAAATAGAATAGAGGCAACCAGGGGCTGTGGAGCTAGTGTTTGACGGGTGCAGATTCTTGGTTTGAGAAAGCTCTGGAGCCAGGTGGTAGTGGTGGTTGCACTACAATGTGAGTTTATTTAATGCAACTGGGCATATAAAAGCCTGTAATCCCAGCACTTGGGAAGCAGAGGTGGGAAAATCAACTCCAGGACAGCCTCAGGCTAGGTACCAAGTTCAAAGCCAGCCTGGGCTTCTGAGACCCTGTTTCCCTAAATCAGTCTTCTCCTCCCCAAGATCATTTAAATAGGATGAAATGCTTATGTATTTTTTTCCAAATCATTATATCTTTTAATAATCTGATGGTAATTCAAAATATGAAAAATAAATGGTGAAGCCGTTCGAGTTAAGGTGGATGCCTCTTTGAGTGCCTCACCGTAGATGAGGATGAGATTGGATTCCAAGTGCATGGACAGTAAAATGGTTTCATGGCTTCCAGACTGATATGTTTGGTTACTGAGTCTCTGAAAGGTAGCAGATGGCAGATGAAAAATTAAATGTAAGGGACCTCAGAGAACAGGGTACCATTTCTGTGGGGTTTTTTTGTTCGTTTGTTTTGGGGGTTTGCAGAGGGAGTTGGGGATGAAAAAGAAGCTGAGATTAAATAGTGCTGATGGTTTTGTGACTATATTAAAACACAGTCCATTGTACACTTTATTTTATTTTTCATTTCTCTCTCTATCTCTCCATCTCTCTCTGAGTGTGTGTGTGTGTGTGTGTGTGTGTGTGTGTGTGTGTGTGTGAGATGGCTATATAAGGGCATATGTGCCACAGTGCTCATGTGGAGGTCAGGGGACAACTTTGTGGAGTCTGTTCTCTCTTTTCATCTTTATGTAGATTCCTGAGGGCAAACTCAGGTCACCAGACTTGCACTGCCTGCCCCTTGCACTGCTGAGCCATTTTACTGGCCCTCCGCCTTACTTTTTAAGGCAGGGTCTTTTACTGAATCTTTTACTGGATTCAGCCAGCCTGGCTGGCCAGAGAACCCTAGTGATTCCCCTGTCTCGGCCTCTTCAGCTTTGGGATTACAGGTGTGTGCCACCACACCCAGCTTTTACGTGGGTACTGGAGGTCCAAGCAAATCCCTTACCAACTGAGCTATGTCTCAGCCCTTCAAAGTCTTCACATTTAAAAATATTTACTTTTAATTATGTGTATATGTGAAGGGGCAGAGTAAGAGATTGGTATCAGCTCACGATCCCCAAGACCAAGTTCTCAGCACAAAGGAGATTTCTTTGCCTCGGAATGACAAAGAGCAGGGAGTCAGAGACAAAACGGGAGATAGAAGAGAAGGGGAAGGGGACAAGAGAGAGGGGTCAGGGATGTTTGTTCCAGAGTAACAAAGACTGCCTTTGGATAGAGAGCAGATAGCTGTGGTCCATAGGAAACTGGCAGTTTATAAAGGTAAAAGGGGAAACCTTGTGTCAGGATGAGTTATTTGATTTTAATTGGGCATGTTAGTTAGGTGAGCCAAGGAGGGTTTTTTGTTTGTTTTGTGTTTGTTGTTTTTGTTTGTTTTTCAAGGCAGGGTTTTACTGTGTAGCTCAGGCTATCCTAAATCTTGTTCTGTAGATCAAGCCGGCCTTGAACTCACAGAGATCTGCCTGCTGCTGCCTCCCAAATGCTGGTTTTAAAGACATGTGCCAGTACTGACTGGCCCAAGAGGGCTTTTGACTGCTGGTCTACTTTGATTAGCTGGACCTTGGTAATCAGCCCCAGGAGGAGGAAGTGGCCAAATAAGGGAATGGACCTTGGTGATATGCTTTCAGGATGTAATCTAACAATTGTTAGCAAAGCAGAGGGGATGGGGGAGAAGGGCAAGGCTGCTAGAGCCATGTTAGCCATGCTTGGGCTGGCTGGAGTCCCTTCAGTATGTGCATTTGAGTGCAGGTACCCAAGGAGTCCAGGAGAGGATGTCAGATCCCTGGAACTGGAGTTACAGGTGGCTGTGAACTGTCTGGCCTGGGTACTGGGAATAAACTCAGTCCTCTGCAGGAACAGTAAGCACTCTTAACCACTGAGCAATCTCTCCAGCCCCGTAAATAATTTCATTTTTGTTCATGAATGTATATGTGATTCTGGTTGATATTTAGAATAGCAACATACAAAATAATAATGAGAAAATGAAGCTGTACGTGCACTGTGTGGTGGTACACACCTGTAATCTCAGTACTCCGGAGGCTGGGGCAGAAGGGTTGTGAGTTCAAAGGGCAGTCTGAGATACACAATGAGACCCTACCTTTAAAAATGAAGTCCTCTGTAGGGCTAGGGAGATAGCTCAGTGGTTAAAATACTTGTCTCAGAAGTGTGGGTATGGGAATTCAGTTCCCCAGAACCTAGATAAAGTCCAGATGGGTATTGCACCTCCCTGTAAATCTAGTCTTTGAAAGCAGAGCCAGGGTTCCCACAACACATGGATCAGCAAAATAACCCTGTGAGCCCTGAATCAGACTGAGACCTTGCCTTGATACACAAAATGATAGGTGGTGATTCCCAGCATCACACACACACACACACACACACACATACACACACGTACGTTTGGGGGAACCTCCCAAATCACCCTCCTGTCCTTGCCATTCATTGTGAGATGATTGGTGAACTTTGACAGCTCAATCTACAGCAACTCTAAAAATAGCATGCTCGCAGTTATGAAGAATACCCCACAGGACAGTGTCCTTCAGGAGTGAACCCTGATACTGTGTGACAGCAGAATATGAAGACTCTAGTGGCTCCCCAGCCTCATGTGCTGATCCCTTACTTTCATGCTTCCGATTTTACTGAAGAACTGATGAAAGGAATAAGGGAGATTGCTAAATTCCTGCACAGTGGACTCTTCTTGGAGTATCTGCTTCCTGGTTTATCCTAACACCTTCCAAACTCCACAGGGATTTCCCCTCTGCTGCTCAGGATTCTGAGTCATCATCCCCACCTTGAATTGGTAGGGGTTCAAGGAATGTAAATTCATTTTCTATTAGCTTAAACAAACCCAATTAGAAAGGAAAGTCCCCGAGGCAAAAAACACCTATCTGAGCCAAATGGAAATTATCCTGGACTTTCTGGATCAGCGAAACAAATGAAGAGTCCACGTAATTATCTTTTTAATCTCCAGGGAGAATGTTTCAGTGTTTTTCTTTATAGTTTTTTATGACCGTAATGTTCTTTTATATTCACTTTAAGTTGTATTATAATGTGAGTTCATCCTCTTACGTGACACTAAGGAAATCTGGTGAGCTGATCTGGGCTTGTCCTTGTCAAGACACAAACATGACAACTTGATGCTTTTAAAGTTTCTTTCATATCTCCTTTACACAGATTTAACCACTTACATACTGTTTTTAAGATCTCCATGGCATTTTAGAATAATAGGTGTCCTTTATATAATGTACATGCACACATACACACACATATGTATATGTAATCCTCACAATAGTATGTGGTCCTCACAATAGCCCTACAATGTAGTTATAATGACCCTAATGTATAAGTGATATTTTAAATATTACAAACAGTACAAAATTGATAGCAAGACACTGAGTATTCACTCCTGTAAACAATCCAAACTCAGAACATACAGGCGGATCTTATATGATTTGTGTCCAGGAGACACAGATTCTAATAGCTCTGAATTACTGTTTGGAGGGAAATAGAGAAAATGGAACCTTTACAGACAACAGGCTCTAAAATCATCGCAAGGTAATTTAAAGAGTTGAAACAGAGACTCCTTTTGTAGTTGGAAAAGAGTATGAGGGCCAGATGACACACCCAAAAGTGGCATTTCTCATATCTGTACCCCAACAAAAATGAATTCGTTCACACACTGTGAAGGAAAGTTTTAACTGTCAACTTGCCACAACCTGGATTCATTTGAGAAGAGAGTTTCAACTGAAGAACCATCTAGACTAGATTGACCTGTGGGTGTGTCTGTGGGGGCATTGTCTTGTAGGTAGTACCCTTTCCTGAACTTGAGCTTCTGAACTATATCAGACAGGAGAAAGCTAACTGAGAGCAGTCAAGGATTATTCATTTCTCTCTGCTCTACACACACACATTTTTTTTTTTTTGGTTATATTTTCCTAGTGTCATGTCTGTTACTGTGATAAAACGCCTCAACAAAAAGCACTTCATGGAAGAAAGGGTTCATCTTAGTCCACAATTGCAGTTCTAGTCCACCATAGTGGGGATGTCAAAGCAGTAACTTAAAACAGCTGGTCACATCTACAGTCAAGAGCAGAGTAAAATAAGTGCACGCAGGCACATGCGGTACTCACCTTTCTCTTAGCACTTAGATAGTACGAGATCCGCTGTCAGGGGAATGGTGGCTCCCACTGTAGGGCTGGACTATCAATCCCACATCAATTAACATAAAACAGTCACACCCTCCCCCACCACGGACATGCCCAAATGCCAACCTGATCTAGACGGTCCCTCAGTGAGATTCTTCAGGTAGTTCTAGATTGTGTCAAGTTGACTGTTACATGCCCTTCTGTAGGTGCAGTTTAGTCATGTACATGGAAATGTGAGAAAGAATAAGTCAGTGGTGAAATGTGGAATTTACTGAGCTGGTATAGTAACATAAGCATGCTATGCATTAGCAATAACTTACTAAACTTACTTTCTGTGCTATTCTCTTCCTCGAGGTTGATCAGAATAAGTGTGGGACTCTCATTCTGTTTCCTCAGTTTGACAAATGGACAGACTCTCAGAGGAGAAGAATTCTCACAGGCCTGCTAGAGCGCTGCTCCCTGTCCCAGCAGAAGTTCTGTTGTCAAAAGCTGCAGGAAAAAATCCCAGCAGAGGCTCTGGATTTTACTACCAAGCTTCCAAGGGTGTTATCTGTCTATATCTTTTCCTTCTTGGATCCCCGGAGCCTTTGCCGTTGTGCACAGGTAAAGGCAATGGAATGGTACAAGGCGTTTTGTTGGGAAAGCCTTAGGAAACTCTGGAGGTGGAATAACCTAGAGATGAACCCCACATGCATGTGCATAGAGCCAAGTAATAGATTCTATTCTGCCAAGTTTGAATGAATGGCCCTTGACCTTTTTCTGTGTCAAACTCTCTCTCTCTCTCTCTCTCTCTCTCTCTCTCTCTCTCTCTCTCTCTCTCTCTCTCTCTCTCTGTGTGTGTGTGTGTGTGTGTGTGTGTACGACACCCATCCCTCTCAACGGCTTATAAATAATCATTCAGAAGCTTAATAGTAATTACAAACTTTTTGGCCGATTGTTTAGACTTATTGCTAACTAGCTCCTACCTTTTTGTCTGTTTGTTTTGGTTTGGTTTGGTTTGGTTTGGTTTTTGAGCAGGGTTCCTCTGTGTAACAGCTCTGGCTGTCTTGGAACTAGCTCTGTAGACTAGGCTGGCCTGGAACTCACAGTGATCTGCCTGCCTCTGCCTCCCAAATACTTGGATTAAAGGCGTGCACCACCACCACCTGGCTGGCCCCTACTTTTAAATTAATCCATTTTTATTAATCTCTGTATTGCCACATGGCTTGTGGCTTTACCTATGGTCTAGTACGTCTTGCTGCTCCAGCGGCTGGCTGGCATCTGCCCCTGACTCTGCCCTTCCCCCCTGTATCTCTGCTTGGTTTTCCCTCCTTGCTATATTTTGCCCTGTTATAGGCCAAAGCAGCATTCATTATCAACCAATGAGAACAACATATATTCACAATGTACGGAGGGGTTACCCCACAGCAAGTCACCATGAGTATCAGATGACAAAAACTGACACTAGCAGTTATTCACATACAAGTGGTTCCTCAACAGGGCAGCATTTACAGTAGCACCCTAGACCAATGGCTCTCAACCTTCCTAATGTTGTGACTCTTTAACACAGTTCCTCATGTTGTGGTGACCCCCCAACCATAAAATTATTTTTGTTGCTATTTCATAACTGTAATTTTGCTACTGTTATGAATCATAGTGTGAATATCTGATATGTGAGCCTTGTGAAAAGGTTGTTCAATCCCCCAAAGGTATTGACCCACAGGTTGAGAACCACTCCCCTGGACTATGCAGTATAGGCCATCTGTAAATAGAAAAGCTCAAAAGAGGGAGTTTAGGAGATAAGTATGAAGAAGACAAGAGTGAAAAATGCCTAAGATAAGCTGCATACCTGTGAGCTCAACACGTGGAAAACTAAGGCAGGAGAGCCATTGTGAGTTCAGGGATACCCTGGGCTACAGGGCCAAACCTTTCTCAAAAACAAAGCAAAACAAAACAGAAAGGAAGATAAGTAGGTCTGAGTGTGCCAGTATACCCCCTGAGGACTTAGGGGAAAAAATGAAGCCATTTTTTCTTACAAGTAGTTCTTTACTGTATTAAACTGAAGTTAAGGCGCTGGAGAGATGGCTCAGCAGTTAAGAGCATTTGCTGCTCTTGCAGAGGATCCAGGTTCAGTTCCCAGCATCCACATGGCAGCTCATAACTTGTCTACAATTCCAGTTCCAAGGTATCTGACTCTCTCTCCTGGATTGCATACCTATACATACACACAGGCAAGTACTCATGCATATAAAAATAAAAATAAATAAATGTTAAAAAAAGAATAACCTGGAGTTAAATTAAGATATAAACCTGTAAAGCAGGCTTGGTGGGGCACACCTGTAATTTGAGCACAGCACAGGAGGATCAGAAGTGTAATATTACTGAGCTGTGCCTTCAAGGAAAACGACAGAAGTTATCTGGGTCCCTCAGCGCAGCTCAAGCACTAGCAGAAAAGAGGCTGTGAAAGTGAAAAGGCTGCTTTGTTTTCCCAGGTGAGCTGGTACTGGAAGAGCTTGGCTGAGTTGGACCAGCTCTGGATGCTCAAGTGCCTGCGCTTTAACTGGTACATCAGCTTCTCCCCAACACCCTTTGAGCAGGGCATCTGGAAAAAGCACTACATTCAAATGGTGAGAGAACTTCACATCACCAAACCCAAGGCAAGTCTGAGACAGAAAGCAGCACACTTGGAAAATGTCAGCTGTGGCAAATTCTAGAACTGTGAGTTAATGATCCAGCTTGAATGTAGGAAAGGAAATGGGGCAAAAGACATACCCGTGACTTCAGACGTCCCGTTTGAGGCCTCATAGGCCTTTTCAGGAAACTTGTGTGACTGAGAAATCTCACCTGCTGCCCTCCAACCACAGCTACCTGTAGAGGTCAGGACTGGGGGACACCTCTCTGTATCCCAACCCTGATTTATGTGCCTCTCCCTCAATCACCAGACAGTTAGACATGGGAATTAATCATTATATTCAGTAATTGTCAGCACGGACTGTTAGAATTTAAACGTTCAGGTTTGTTATGATTCTGTAAGATGAGGTAAAGTTTGTTGGTTGGTTTTCAGTGGGTTAACTAGTTCATTGTTTGAGACAATGGTCTCCTCATGTAGCCCAGGCTGGCTCTTATCTCATGAGCCCTAGCCTCAGCGTTAGGGATGCTGTTACTATAGATACGTGCTGAATGCATGAGTGTTTATTTATCAGCTGTCATGGGGATTCACACTAGGGCCTCATGCAAACATGATGGTCTGAATTTGGATCTCCACTACCTTTTTAAAAAAAAGCACTGGGGAGTTGGAGAGAGGGTGATGCTGCAGGCTTAGCTAGCTGAGACAAATAGGAGAGCTCCCAGTCCCCGTGAAAGACCCTGACACCAAGACTCTGTCTTCCACAACCATGTTCGCACATGTGTGTGTTCACAGGAACACACACGCATGCACTCATTTGATATAAATATTCACAGAGTAAAAAAAGAAGAAATATAGAATCATTTTAATACACATATGCAAACAAGTCATCTAACAAGATTCAGTGTCCATTCATGATAACACAATTCCAAAGACTTCATTCAGGCTGGGATTATAGCTCAGCAGTAGACCCAGTGCTTCCGTAGCGAATGTCAGGCCCCAGGGTTTAACCCCAGCACCAGCACAAAAGGTTTGAAGTGGTAAGAGCAAAACTTGCTTACATCAATGTGGATTTCATTATTGTCAAGTTTCAGAATTAATGATTTTTCTACATTTTACTAATACTTAAGTACCTCCCAAGTTTTAAAACTTATCCCATATTATTTTAGTATTATTTAGTATTATTTTTTTTAAACAGACTTAATTCACTTTATTTTTCTTGTATAAAACCCCTTATGTGGTGGCAACAGCTGGAGCCTGGGTCCTCTGAACAGAGACTCTGATATGGGCTTTCACAAGATGGTCAGTGAATTCCTGATAAGGAGACTTGGTGAACACAGTCTCTTTCCAGAGGTCAGGGGTCAGGTAGCTGTAGGTCTTAGAGATGGCATCAAAGGTGGCCTTGGCAAAGTTGCCCAGGGTGGCAGTGCAGCCCCTGGCTGATGTGTAGCAGTCATCAATACCGGCCATCATCAGTAGCTTCTTGGGCACAGGAGCAGAGACGATGCCAGTGCCTCTGGGGGCAGGGATGAGACGCACCAACACAGAGCCACAGCGGCCTGTCACTTTGCATGGAACAGTGTGGGGCTTGCCAATCTTGTTCCCCCAGTAGCCTCTCCTCACAGGGACAATGGAAAGCTTGGCCAAGATGATGGCCCCTCGGATAGCTGTGGCTACCTCCTTGGAGCATTTAACACCAAGACCAACATGACCGTTGTAGTCCCCAGTAGCGACAAAAGCCTTGAACCTGGTCCGCTGGCCAGCCCTTGTCTGTTTCTGTACTGGCATGATCTTTAGAACCTCATCCTTAAGAGATGCCCCCAAGAAAAAGTCAATAATCTCGGATTCCTTAATGGGCAAAGAGAAAAGGTAGATCTCCTCCAGGGACTTGATCTTTATGTCCTTAACCAGGCGGCCCAGCTTGGTGACAGGGACCCACTCCTTGTCTTCGGCTTTACCTCCACGAGCCCCACGGCCTCGACCATGGCCACGGCCCCTGAGGCCGCTGCTGAAGCCTCCGCGGAAGCCTCCGCGGCCTCCTAATCCTGGGCCCCCGGGGTCCTCCGGGCCCTCCCGCTGCACCGGCATCATCCGCCATTTGGTGTTTTCCTGAAGTAGAAGAAGTATTATTTAGTATTATTAATAGTATGGTACTAATTCCTTTTAACATTGCTGTGGCAGAATACCTAGCAAAAGCAACCCAGAAAGAAAGGTCAGTTTTGACTCATAGTTCAAGGGTATAGTTCATAATGGTGGGAAGTCATGGCTGGAGGATCTTGAGGTGGCTGGTCACATGGCATCCACAGTCAGGAAGGTAGCAGGTGACTGCTGGTGCTTAGTCGCTATCTCCTTTTTACTCAGTCTGGAACCTCAGTGCCCAGAATGATGCTGCCCCAGTCAGGGTGGATCTTCTCACTTCAATTAACCCAGTCTAGAAACTCCCTCACAGATGTGCCCAGAGGTTACCTAAGTTATTCTAGATCTGTTAAATTGAGAATATTAACCATTGCAAGGATTAAAGTAGAACTCCTCCAGCAAAAAGACAAGAGTTTATTTCTGAATAAGCTAATAGAAATGAACGTCCATTCTAGATGAGACCTGTACAGTATACAGAATTGTACAAATATTATGTCTTCTTAATTGGCTATTGGACCCTGTGATGGTAATCTTGATTGCCAACTTGACATGCCTGCGATTGAGCCATGTCTGTGAGGCTTTGTCTTGATTGCTAATTGATGTAGGAGGTCCCAGTCCACTATGGGTGGTGCTAACACTAGGCAGGTGGCCCCGAGCTATATAAGAACAGTAACTGAGCATGAGGCCGGAAGCAAGCCAGTAAGTAGCATTCCTCCATGGTTTCTGCTTCAAGTCCTTTCCCTGAATTCCCTTGATGATGGACCATAACATATAAGATGAAATGAACCCTTTCCTCCCCAAGTTGTTTTTAGTCATGGAGTTTATCCTAGCATCAGACAGCAAACTGATACAGCCATAATCATTCATTAAGTGAGTAAATACTTATCAAACACTGTTGTATGCTGGGTGCTAAGAGTACAAAGATCCTAACCAGGTTTCCACAGAACTCAGTCTAGTAGCCATGACATACCCAAATAAACACTATACTCCAAACACTTGACACTAAGGATAATCTTGGAGTAGCAATGACTACAACAAACAAGGAGTGGCTCAGACCATGAATCTTGTTATGCTTGGGGAGTTGGGGAATTGCTTCTCCCTCCTTCCTTCTTTCTTTTCTTCCTTCTGTCCTTCTTCATTTTTGGTGGTGGAGCTGGGTATGGAATATAAGACCCTAGCAAAGACTATACCCCAGTCCCAACTGGGGAGATTCTTGATTTTTCAATTACAATTGAAGCAAGTTGATTTACTAAACAAAGCCTCCCTAATCTCTTAATGAACAAAAATTGAGCTCTTAATGGCTTCCCAACATACCAGCACCACTTCCCTTAGGCTAAACCCGCATTGAAAACACTTTGTGAGCCAAGCACACAAAAGACAGACTTCTAAATTTGGAAATTAAATAGAATTATTCTTAGGGAGTGGCTTGGCTTTGGATAACTGAAACAACTACAGTCTACCTCTGTGCAACTTGAACGCGTCTATCTGTTAGTTCATTAAGGACAGGGCAGCGCGCGTGTGTGTGTGTGTGTGTGTGTGTGTGTGTGTGTGTGTGTGTGTGTGTCTGTGTGTGTGTGTGTGTAGGGGTGCACCCTTTTTATGAATATATTAACTGCAGTGTAACAAGCTAGTTAATGGGTGTAGAGCTACAGGATAAGATGAAAAGGTTTGACTGACAGACTTGAAGCACAACAGACTTGGATTTGAATTCTCTATTCAAATTGAAATTCTACTTATGTCCTTATGGGTCAATTATATAGTTTCTCCTAGCGTCAGAGTCTGCCTCTGTAAAATAAGAGCAATAATGAGCTCTCTTTAAATTACTGTGAAAGTTGGGAGTGGTGCTCACACCTATAATCCTAGCACTTCTGAGGCTGGGGAAGAAGGCTTGCAGCGAGCTCAAAGCCAGCCTGGTTACTTAGGCCAGCCTGGGTCACAGACCAAGACACTGTCTTCAAACACCAAATAAGGCTGGTGATACAACTCAGCTGGTAGACTGATTTCCTGTTGGTCAGGAAGTCCTAAATTCAGTCCCCAGCACTATATAAACCTGGGGTAATAGACCTGTAACCTTAGCACTGTAACCTCCTGCAGAGGCAGGAGGAACAAGAGTTCAAGATCACCTTGGGCAATACAGGGAGCTTGAGGTGAGCTTGAGCTATACAAGACCCAGTATAAATAAATAATAAGTAAATTACTATGAAGATGGAATAAGAAAATGCAAAGGAACTGCTACGCATATCCAAATACTGGGGGCAGTGGTTGCTGCCATCCTCATTGACACTATCACCATTGTCATGATGATGTGAGGAGGAGGGTGGTTAAGATGTTTGTGTTCTTTGTCTCATGGTGGTGGGTGGTATTCTGGTAGCCCCAGAGTAGAAATAATATATTTTCTTCTTCTAGACACCTCCAAAGGATGGATTCATAATCGCCGATGTTCAGCCCATTCCCAGCAGCTCTCTAGAGGAAAAACAGTCCCCCTCCTTATCTCTGCGGTCCTCCTCGCTAAGAAAGAAGAATAACCCAGGGGAGAAAGAGCTTCCACCGTGGAGATCGTCGGATAAGCATCCCACCGATATCATCCGATTTAATTATCTAGACAACTGTGACCCTGAACACCTCTGGCAAGGGTGAGAAGCTCTATGCCCCGCCCTCTCAGCTGTTTTGTTTTTCAAAATAATTATTGACACTTGAGTAGATGGAAAAAAGTGGTCCTGGAACTCACTGTGAACTACAGAAGGTTTTTCAATAGGTCCATGTGGACTAGCCACTCTTAACAAGTTTGCCCTTTTCATCATCATCTGCCTGCCTCTTATAGCTGTAATGACTTAGCAGTGTGACCTCCTTAATATTTTAAATGCTGTGATTACTGTCCATGCTACGGCACGCCTGTGTGGGGGTCAGGGGACAACTTCCTTCCACCTTGGATTCAGGGGATCAAACTCAGGTCGTTAGGCATGTATAGAAAGGACTGTTTATTGGCTGAGCAACCAAGCCAGCCCATCGTTAAATACTTAAAATTTTTATTTAATTATGTGTTTGTATGTATGTTTCATGCGCACGTGTGTGTGTGTTGGGAGGGGTGCCTGTGGAAGCTAGAAGAAGGCCTTTGAGCTGGAGTTACAGGTCATTCGGTGTGGATCCTAGGAACTGAACTCAGGCCCAGTGAGAAAACAGGAAGAGCCATTGCTCCCGCCCCAGCTATCTTATTTTAATATTAATTCAAGCAAGCATCACGTGGTTCATCCTGGAGTTTTATTTTTCCTTTTTATACTTCCTTCCTTTCCTAGTGAGCAAACATAAGGAGGGATGGACAAACTATGATCTCCACCCTCACCTCCACCCCCACCCCACACTGCACCATGGAGAGCATGAGGTAGTAAGACAGTCACTGACTTTTCCCTACCAAGCTAAGTAGGGATGGACTTGTAAAAAATATCGGACCAGGTTTGAGGCAGCCTGAGCTAAGTAATGAGACCTTGTCTCAAAAGAAAAATGGTAGCTGAAATATTGGTGATATTCAGCTGTAATCAGCACTGAGGAGGCTGAGGCAGGAAGATAGCACATTTAAGGCCAGCCTGGGCTACATAGAGATATCCTGTCCCCACCACCACCCCCCAAAAAAAACTCATACCAAAAAATGTATTATAATGAAGTAGAAAGGTAAGTTATATATAATAAAATAATACCAGCTATTGAATGAGATGGAGACTGTGCGTTTCATCACTGTGCTGTTAATCTTTCATGTTTCCTGCCTTTTGGAGGTTGGTTTATTTGTGGAGCTAGAATCTCCTTTTGTAGCCTAGGCTTGCCTTCACTCTGCATCCCTCCTGCCTCAGAACCCTGAGGGCTGGGATTATAAGTGTGTGCCACCATGCCTGGCTTTCCTGTACATTTAGAATTTCTGTATATTAATGCTCTCCATCAAACTGTAATTTGATGGTTATTCATTTTTTTCATGTGTGGCCAAGCTGGATGATATGGCAGGGTCAGACTGACAAAGTCAATTTAAGCCAGTTTTAGAATTAAACGCTGTCTAGAAGTTACCTTCTAGTCCTGCACCTGAAATAGAATGAATAAAGGATGAGTCTGGGAAGTCGGGGTCTACAGTTTGCAGCTCTTCTAGGGGCACACACAGAATTGCAAGCATGTGGTAAACGCTCTGAGATTCCAGCTTTAAAAAAAAAAAATCTGTGTGTTAAAGCCAGATGTGGTGCCGCTTGCCTTTAATCCCAGCACTTGGGAGACAGAGGCATGCAGATCTCTGTTTCAGTTCAGGCCAGCCTGGTCTACAGAAGGACTTCGGGGACAGCCAGGGCTACACAGAGAAACCTTGCCTTGAAAAAAACAAGCAAAAGAAAAGAAAAGGACAGAAGCGGGGGGGGGGGGGGGGGGGGGGGACGACACACACGACAAACGATATTAAATGATAGTAAATAAAATAATGTGTATTTCCTAAGACATATTGGTGCTAGGGTGACTGGGTAGACAAATGTCTTTGTCTTAGGAGATGAGTGTTGCAGTATTAGGAGGGGTGTGTCATTTTTGCAACTAAAGCATTTTGCAAACAAGCATCACTACAAAACCCAACCATATGTATGTAGAGGGTGCAATGAAGCCAAGAACAGCCAAATGCTATCAATATATACATAAGGCTGGGATCGCTGCCCTAGCCTGCTAGCTCTTCTGCCTTCTCATCAATTAAAACTTGGAAAATATCTTGAAAATGAAGTGCCAAGTAGTATTTGGGCAGATGCATTCTTTTTAAATTAAAATCCTTTTATGACAAATATTGAAATTAGATAGATAATCCAAATTAACCTTTTGTGGCTATCATCTGTTGGTAACAGTTTTTAAGTTACAGCCAATCTGCAGTCATTTATTCCTTACCTACTCTGCCCTCCCCTGTATGGTGACATTGATGAGTAAGCCAGGGTCTTACTATGAGGCCCAGGCTACCTTCACTTCCCAACTCTCCTGCCTCAGTCTTCCCATGTCTGAATCACATGTCTTCAACACCATTTCTGGATCCCCTAAATAATTTTTAAATAAATGTCATATTATCTCATATATGACTTATTTAATAGGTCATATACTTCTGTTTTCTTCCTTCCTTCCTTTCTTCCATTTTTTTTTTCTTTTGTTTTTGCCAAGCAGGGTTTCTCTGTGCAACAACCCTGGCTGTCCTAGAACTAGCTCTGTAAACGAGGCTGGCCTTGAACTCACAGAGAGCCACCTGCCTCTGCCTCCAGAGTACTGGGATTAAAGGTGTGCGCCATCACGCTCGACTCTATCTCTGTTCTCAAAGAGTAAGAACCCTTTGTGATAATCATAACCTGGCACCATCTTCCTCTAACTCAATGAATAACTCCTTAATACAGTTAGGGGTCATCAGTGTTCAGGGTGCCTTGAATGTCACGCAAGCATTTGACTTTTTAATGAATGCTTTGTTTAATCAGGTTCCAGATGAGGTCTAAACTGCATGTTGTGTCTGACTCACGTGTCCATTCTTGCCCTGAACTGTAAGTTAACCCTCTGTCCCGCGCCTGCTGCCTCCCTCCTTCTTGTCCCCATCACATTCTGGACTCTGCGGAGTGCCCCACCGTGTGCGTCCTCTCATGCCCCCTGTTCCCTGGCCACACTGATAGTCAGAATAAGAAGCGCTAGACTATATGGACAAAGACGCACACCTCCGTTTCTGGCTCCTTCTGTGTTGTTGGTAACCATGGAAGCACATTACCTAGATTCACGATTCCAGGCAAACTTATTCTAGAAAGGGCCAGAAGGGAGATATTTTAGACTCTGCAGGACATAAGCTCCATGGCTCAGCTCTGATGGCATAGCTTGAAAAATTGCCTAGGCATTCCAAACATAAAAATCATTGTTTTCTAATACAGCTCTATGAACAAAAGTAGGCAGCAAGCTAGAGTTTCCTTTAATCCCAACATGGGAGGCAGAGGGGAGAGGAGCAGAGGGGCAGAGGGGAGAGGAGCAGAAAGGGAGAGGAGCAGAGGGGAGAGGAGCAGAGGGGAGAGGAGCAGAGGGGAGAGGAGCAGAGGGATAGAAGGGGAATGGGGCAGAAGGAGCAGAGGGGCAGAGGGGAGAGGGGCAGAGGCAATCTCTGTGAATTTGAACTCAGCATGGTCTACAAAGTGAGTTCCAGTTCCAGGCTAGCCAGGACTATTTAAATAGACCCTGTCTAAGAAGAAAGAAAAAAAGGAAGGAAGGAAGGAAGGAAGGAAGGAAGGAAGGAAGGAAGGAAGGAAGGAAAGAGTATTCAGATAAATAACTGTTAAAAGTACAAGAAAAACTTGTGTGTGGCTGTGCCAACTTCATGGACAAGATCAAACTTGTTTCATTTTGCTTTTTGGTATTTCCTCTCTTTCATCTTAGCTTATACTCTGGATAACATTTTAGTTGGTTCCAAAAGTCAAGAATGCAAAATAAGGGTATGTTTGGGGGAGTCTAGCTTCTGCTCCTATGTCTCCATATTGTTTCTGGGGGATTCCTATGGGCTCCCTACCTATGGACAATGGATTTTCACATTTTTGTATCATTCTTCTACTTCAAAAAGTTCCAAGAGCTGGATATGGTGGTGCATGCCTGTGATCCCAACGCTTAGGAGGCAGAAGCAGGATGCTCAGCAGGAGTGTTGTGTTAGCCTGGTTTATATACCAAGTTTCAGGAGCAGTCAGTAAGATTATATAGTAAGATCCTGCCTCAAAATAATAAAATAACCCTCTCTCTCCTCTTCTCCTCCCGCTTGGCCACCAGTTACCCCCACTCCCTTGTTTTCCCTCCATCAATAAACTCCACATGGGCTCATTGAAAAAAAGAAAAAATAATAATAACTAAAAAGTACCAACAAAAGTCATAATAAAAATTTAACAAATAGAAAGTACAGGGGTGTCTAGGGCTGTACCACCCTGAACGTGCCCAATCTCGTCTGATTTCGGAAGCTAAGCAGGGTTGGGCCTGGTTAGTCTTTGGATGGGAGAAAGTACAGGGGCTGTTGTTCTTCCAGAGGCTCTGAGTTCAGTTCCCAGCCCCCCACATGGGAGCTCATAACTGCACAGAGCTCTGGTTCCAGGCGATCTGACGCCTTCTTCTGGCCTCCACAGGCACTGCCTATACATGAGGCAAACCACATAGAAAATAAAAGTAATGTTTTAAAATCTCCTGGCAAACAGCAGACACGTTATGTTTTTAGGTGCCTCTCTTTACCCGGTTTTCTTTTTTGTGTGTCATTGTATCCTGAGGCTCGCCCTACAGTTGTGTACAGAAATATTCTGCCTCCCTTTCACAGCTCAGAGCTCTCCATGGTGCTCCTGTGCCAGTGGCTCTCTATAGACAGACATTTGATGTATTTCCAGGGGAGTGCAGGCAGCCTTTAAATCAAAGGCCATCAAAAATCTAATGAAAAAATAGCCATGTGAACTGCTGAAGACTTCATTCAGATGACCAGTAATAATTTCCCTATCACTTTGCAATTTTGCAGAAGAAGAAAAAGAAAGGAAGTGACCCCAGACTTCAAGCGGCAGTTGAGGGATAAGAAAAACAAGCCTGAGGACAGAGCCAGGCTCAAGAAAGCACAGTCACTGGTAAGTCAGCTTCTGGAACACTCACCCCATCACTGACGGAAATTACCCTCATTCCCTAATCCTATTTGTGAAATTGAATTTGTTTGCTAAATCACAATCATCAAGTGGTTGTTTAAACCTTGGTCTCTGGGGCTAGAGATGTAACTCAGTTGCTAGAGCGATTGGCAGCATGCAAAAAGTCCTGGCTCCCATCCCCCGGCACAGCAAAAAAACTCACAATGGCTCTTGGGAGACAGAGGACAAAGGATTAGAATTTCCTGGTCGTCGTTAGCTACACAGCAAGCTCAAAGCCAGTCTGGGCTAAATAGATAAATAAATGACTCAAAAAATAAATAAACCAAACTGAATTAAGAATTTTTCTGTCTCTGGGGCTGGAGAGATGGCTCAGAGATTAAGAGCACTGGCTGCTCTCTCCCAAAGGTCCTAAATTCAATTCCCAACAACCACATGGTGGCTCACAACCATCTAAAATAAGATCTGGTGCCCTCTTCAGACCTGCAGGCAAACTTGCAGGTAGAACACTGTATACATAATAAATAAATAAATAAAATCTTAAAAAAAAAAAAAAAAAAGAAGAAGAATTTTTCTGTCTCGAGCAGGGTGTTGGCGCATGCCTTTAATCCCAGCATTTGGGAGGCAGAAGCAGGTGGATCTCTGCCAGAGTGGTCTACAGAGCTAGTTCTAGGACAAGCACCAAAGCAATACAGAAACTCTGTCTCAAAAAACCAAAAAAAAAAAAAAAAAAAAAAAAAAAAAAAAAAGAATTTTTCTGTCTCCAGTTAAAAAGCAGTTAGTCGGCAACATAATAATAATAATATCAGTAATTGTGACTAGGGAACATGATTAATTTATAGCAGACTTCCCCAAACTGATTTGGACCACAGGGGATCCCTTTTTATCACATTATGAGAGGTTTTGGAGCAAAGTAGGAAGGAATTCGGGTGGAATTTAAAGTGCATATAATGTAATGAGAATCGAGAGCAAAGCTGAGGACATACAGCAGGAAAATTAATAGAGAATGCATACCAAAGTAGGAAGGAATTCGGGTGGAATTTAAAGTGCATATAATGTAATGAGAATCGAGAGCAAAGCTGAGGACATACAGCAGGAAAATTAATAGAGAATGCATACCAATTGTTGGGATAATCTGCACCCACTCGGGAATAAGTCTTTTCCACAGCTCAGCTTGAGAACCTGTTACTTTCTGCTGAAATGTTATATTAAAACACACACACACACACACACACAGAGGATGAGAGATAAGCTTCTTAAAATAGACCCGGCTGTGTGCTAAAGACCACAGTACTGGGGAAGGCTCCTTGTCGACATGTGCAGCCTGTGAAGCCTAAACCAAAGCCGTAAAGCTGTCCATGAATCTGTTGATTGAAAAGATAGATAGATAGATAGATAGACAGACAGACAGACAGACAGACAGACAGACAGACAGACAGACATTATGAGCCTAATTGCACAGGCCATTATGAGGCATTCTGCCTGGTTTCTATCCATTGAGCAAGGAGGAGGAGGAAAGCAGCCAAAACAGAATCTGAGCCAGATGTGTTAGTGGCCCACTCCTAAATTTCGACACTCAGAAAGCTGAGGCAGGAGGAGAGCTGTGAGTCTGAGACTTGACTCAAAATACCAGAGAGACAGAGACAGAGAGAGGAGACAGGGAGGACAGAAGGGTGGGAGAAGAATATGAATCTGAATGTATGCTGAGAAATATTCAATGCAATTGAATGTTCCTCCTGCTTAAAAAAAAGCACAAAAATCTGTGACTTTTGACATTAGCCATCTATCAAACACTAATAGATATTTCTTAAAGTATTCATTGGAATGCAAAAGTGGGAGGCTGGAGATGTAACTCAGATGGTGGAGTGTTTAACTGCCGTGCATGAAGTCCTGGGTTTCATCCTCAGCATGGCACAACTTGGTCATGCTGGCCCACACCTGAAATCCCAGTACTGTGGGAGATTATCCATAGTTACATAGCAAGTTCAAGGCCAGCCTGAGCTATATGAACCCCATGCCCCCCCAAACAAAAATCCAACCCAAACAAACAAACAAAATGAAGACATTAAAAAGGGGTTAGGTGTGGTAACACACCCTGTAATCTCAGCACTGGGGAGGTTGAAGCACGAGAAGGATCGGCACAACTTCCCAGCCAGCCAGGGCTAGACAAAGGTAAAACACTGCCTCAAAAGCATAGGTAAATAAATAAATAATAAACCCTGAAGAAGTTGTGCTAATTAGGGCCGAAAGGGAAATCCAGATGAATTAATGATAGAGAACAATTAGCTTTTACTAAACACATGATTATTATATCTACTTGTTTTGATTTTGTAAGTATACTAATTATAATTATTACATACATTTGGTAGTTTTGATAAAGAACATGGAATATAATTAACCCCCGAATGAGAACTATGCTGTGGTCTTTGACTCATGCCTGCAATATGCTGGCCTGTGATAAGCCTGACTGTTGGTGCTGCAAAGTAGCGGTTCAGGACCCCTCTCCACAGAGGGGCAGTTTGCACTTCACAGGCCTGAGAAGGAAAAATCCACACTGCTGATGCAGGACTTTTGTGACAGTGAAGAGATTCTGCCAGTAGCCTGGAGAGGGGAAGGAGGGGCACTGAAGACATTACCCCACCCTCCTTAGGAGGGAACACTGTAACTGTGACACATGTGAACACACCCCAAATGATTCCAATGAGGGACTTTGACAGAAAGTTCTCGGATCCTTTCACCAGGTTTATGGAGGGAGAGAAATGGGTGTGTTGTAGTGGGGAGAGCTGGTGTTAACTCAACAGATGAAGGTGGCAATGCCTCTTTCACCTAACCAGAGGATGATCTGATCTGAGAGCACGATAACTGAAGATGAGTTGTGCCTATCCTGTGGGAGAGGGGTGTGTGGGAGTCGGAGAAGGTAAAGTGTTGAATGGAAAGGTCTGGGGAAGAAGGAAGTGGAGACGTTTGAGAGAATACAAGGAATATTCTGTAGGCCTGCTGCAGGGTCCTGGCAGCAGCTGGGAGATCAGCTCCTCTTCTGCCTGTCACTCCTCAGAGCAAGCTGAAATGCAGCTCAGTCTTAGGAGAAACATCCCCAGGGCTCAGCTTCTAATTTGCACATGGAGTTGCTGTGAGCTTGCCCAATTCCTGCTCAACCGGTGTGAGTGGAAATTGGCTTTCTCTGGTTCTCACTTCTACACAAGATCCCCAGGAGCTGCCTGAGATGTTCCCTAACTACTTTATGGTGTAAACATCTGTTAGAAGATGGTAATCAGGCTTAGATATGGTTGGGGATGCTCTGAAATTTCCAAGACTTCTTGGGAAACTTTCAGACATAGCAAGAAAGCCTCATACCCTCATACCTATTGGTAGTGACAATATTCCATATCAAACCAAATGGGTTGAAAAGCACAAACACCACAATGCCCTCGTCTTCTTTAAACTTCAAAGATTTTTTTCCAGTCTGGTATCAACACACACACACACACACACACACACACACACACACACACACATCCCCCCCACACACACACATGTTAACTACTGGCCTCCAAAAGCTGTTTAGGGAAGGAGGGAGCTGTCTCCTTGCAGGGAGGTTTTGGTGAGTTCCTGGAGAGGAATGGGGCACCAGGGCCACAGTATTAGCAGACACCTGGATGCAGAGGAGGGGAAGCCTAAGCCTCCCGTGCTTGAGTGAGAGAAAGAATCTAGTTTGTTACTTCTGTCTGGGGAAGGGACGGGGAGCCAAGGGTGGGAAGGAGAAGGGAAAGAAAGGAAGGATGGGGCAGAGAATGGAAAAGTGAGAGGAGAAAGAGGGAAGTTGAGATGGGTCATGGAGGAGCCAGGACAAGAGTGACCCTCATCCCATTTCAAGTAAGTATGCTTGCTACTGTTGGGGTGCAAACCTCTTCCCATCTCTATGGTAAATTCTATATACTTTGTACATACAAGTAAGATCTTGCAAGTCTCGAGGCCCAAGAAAGCAAAAGCGTCTTGGGACAACACAGACGATCCAGGATGTGGGTGTCGGATTTCCTGGAATTGGACTCAATCTTTAATATTTTTTTGAGATTTTATTTATTTTAATGTTTGTGTATTTTGTCTGCATGTATGTCTGTGGTCAGAACTTCTGGAACTGGAGTTACTGGTGGTTGTTAACTATGTGGGACTGGGGCTCAACCCTGGGTCTCTCTGAAGAGCAGCCAGTGCTCGTAACCAAAGTCATCTCTCTAATTGCGCCCCCACAAACCCGCAGTTGACATCTCATTCTGATCTTTCCTTCCAACCAGGTCAAGTTTAAAACACTTTTGTCTCCCTTGGACTTTTCCTTGGAAACTAGTCCTTGCTTTCCAGGTCCTGAGGATCTCAGAAAGCTGTTGAGCCTTTAATTACCCGCTTATACTCTCTAATTGCCTTAGATAAGACCTGCTGCTAATTCCAGCCTCCAGAAGGCAATTACTTCACCTCTTTTCAGGGCCACTTTACTCCTAGTGTCCCACTGTCCTGACTTCTTCTTCTTCTTCTTCTTCTTCTTCTTCTTCTTCTTCTTCTTCTTTTTTTTTTTTTTAATCTTTCTTTGAGTATTCTCTTTTTGCCTTGCTGAATCAGGTGAGAGGAAAAAAACAAATGTACTCTAAAGTGATTCTGAGATGGTGTGAAAGAAAGGAGGAAAGAACCTAGGGCCCAGTTTCAACTCTAACAGTCAATCTCTTGGAGTTTACATCTCCCGATGTATAAAATGGGAATCTGAATGACAACATTGTAAAGAATAATCTAGGATAGGGGATAGGGAGATGATTCTTTGGTTCTTGCCGTGAAAGAACGAGGAGCTCAGTTGGATTCCTGGAACCCATAGGGACAGAGATGGGGTGAGGAGAGCTAAGAGTGGTGGTGTGTGCTTTCAGTCCTCAAGCTGGGTAGGCAAAGATGTGAGGATATTTGATACTCACTAACTAGCTAGCATGGCCTAATTGCTAAGTCCTAGGCCA